TATTATAATCAAGCCCTTTCAGTCGTGGTTCAAACAACTTCAAAAGTTTTCAAAATTTTTTCTCCACGTCGAGAAAAACCGGTTTAAATTTTTTGATTTTTGAGATTATTTTTTTTTTGAGCAGAAAAGGTCAACGTGCAGGCATTAAAAAGCTTATTTCAGCTCAATTTAAAAAAATTCTGCAAAAATAAATTGGAAAAAGTTGTGAAATTTTTATTTTTTTAAAATGATTTTTGTTTTTTTTCCTGGTATTTTTTTTTCTACTAAAACTGTAATGCAATTGAGCTGTTGGACTATAACTGTCGAATATAACTAAGTTCGTATTTTTTATAAATCTTTCTTTTTAGACCTTTTTATTACACCTCACAGAAAAAATGATACTAATTTGTGTATTTTTAGACTAGTTTTGTGTATTTTAAGACTGGTCGAATACCCGACTTTGGTCGAGTAACTGGCTCATTTTGTTATAGCTGTTTTGAAAATATTACCATGAAAGTAATGAAAACTGTCTAAATACTCCAAATAAATTATACCTTAGTTTTCTTTGAGTGTTGCTAACAAAAAAAAATCAGTTTATAACAAGAATATTATCATGAAGGCCTTTTAGCAATTGCTAGCAAGAAAAACAACTGCTGTGAAAATAGCACAAAACGATCGGATCACAACCTTTTTTAAAAAAAAACCTGAAAAAAAGTTTTAAAAAAAAGTTGCGTCTAAGTATTTTTGTACTTTTTTAATCGATATTTCTTATTATTTCAGTAGAGGGTGACTGAATTAACTTGCTAAAGAAAGAAAGAGTTGTAAAACAACCCAACTTAACTTTAAAATTTTAGTGAAAATTATAATAATCAATTTTTCTGATAACTGAGACGTTTGATTCTAAACTTTTCTGGTATCAAGGTCAATAAGGTTTTATTATGATGCTGCATTTGACCTCATTCGAACGTCCTTCAAGGAAGTCAACAATGAAAAGGAAAAACCATAACTAACACATATCTTCTTCTATCTCGAAGCGATATCGGAACAATCATTCAAACTCTGTCATAGAAATTTGATCACAGTTGGTTAAATATTGAGGGTGAAAACCAGGGGCAAATTTAGGGGGTGACACACACAGTTCCAAATATTCCCTTTTTACGAAATCCTTTTTCGGATTTTTAAAGGCGCTTTTGGTTCCAAGCAAATATGCATTCTTACTAAGGTGCGAGCGCCAAAAACACAAACTTATGGCGAAAACTTTAAAAAAAACGCCTTGTTTGGTATTTTTTTTTTCAAAATATGGTCCTGTCTTGTGTCAAAAATAGTTCAGATAAATGTTGTCTCAAACTACAAAAAATTGAAAAATGTTCAAAATTTGTTTTCAAATTTCTAAATCTTTTACCCATCTTCAGAAAGTCCTAAAAAAGCCGTTAGTCGAAAGAATCATTACAAAAAATTTTAGGTTCTGGGCAAAATAGGGGACAAAAAATTATCAAGAAAATTGCAAAAGAAAATATTAACAATAATAAAATATTATAATAAAAAAAAACAAATTAATGAAAAAATTGAAATTATCCAGTTCAAAAACATTGTAAAATGACAAAAATTCAATATTCGAATCAAACCTTATCGATCGAGCACTCTTCTCTCAATCGGCAAATATTATTTCCTCGTCGATCAAGCGAAATGGCCTAAGATGGTTCATCGCATTTGAAATCTAACAGTACAGCCAAAAATAATCATAATGATAATAATAAATTGTTTCCAAACGATATCTAGTTACAAGGTTATTTATAAAAATTTATAAATACAAATTAGAATCGTTCGGGAGAACACCATTAAGCCAACAAGGCCCGTTTTCAGGTGTCTCATTAAGCGGAGAACAAAAAAAAGTACTTAAATTCTTTAACCCAATGTAATGGATTTTCTACCGTTAACCATTTTTTAAACGTAAAACCTCTTTTTTCGCACCCACCTTTAAACCATTCTCTATAAAAAAAAAACAATTTAGTTTTCTCAGGTAGTCTTTTCTACCCATAACTTAGAAACCAACAGAAACAAGTTCTTCTTATTGATCAAAAAAAGTCTCAAAGCATGCCCAGTAAAATCGTATTTCCTAGAATGTAATTATCCAAAAATTTATGATTAAAACTATTTAATTGAAACCGAGAAGCCCCTTTCAAGAAATTGACCCAGGTGGGAAAAAATTATTACGAAGTTGAACATTTTCCTAATTTTAGGTATAATCGACCCTCTGTTGAGTTTATTTCTGTTTATAGCTAACTTCTGATTTGTTTTTCGCTTTGAAAATATCACGTTCAATTCTTGATCAGTAATAGAATATCTCAAGGTTTCAACTTGGCACTCTTTTCGAATAATTTTTCCGGTTAATTTCAGAACTTCGTAAGCAAACAATTCTCTTACGGTATATATTTTATTATCATGCATTATTTCAGTGATTGAATCCATCCTGTGTTTATAAAAAATTATTCTGATTAGCCTTCTGATTTTCATTTCCAGTTCCAACAGTTCGGTTTTGTCGGTATTTGCATAAACTAAAACTCTATATTGGATGATTGGTTGCACGTAATTTTTATACGCAATTATTAATTGCTGTCCAGTTAGAACTTTTCTCAATTGAATAAACACTCCACAGAATTGCAAAATTTTGTTCTTTACCTTATCAATATGCTGATGAAAATTCAATTTACAGTCAAGGAGAATTCCGTGATATTTAAAACATTCAACATCTTCTATTTGGGTGTCATTTAAAAAATAATTTACTAGTCGTTCTTCAGTTTTCGTGCTCCGACAGTATCTCATGGTCTTGGTTTTTTTGACATTCAGTGTCAGTTTGTTCTTGTCTAACCAATCATTTACTTCAAGCAAAGCTGATCTATGTGCAAAAGCAATATAGTCTTTGTTGTTTGTGGATTTCAGAACAGTGTCATCAGCATACAAAAGTACCCCTGTGTTTTTTGTGGCTATTTGTAGATCGTTTATGTATAATATGAACAAAAGTGGGCCAAGGATAGATCCTTGAGGTACACCAAAGGATACCAGTTTAAGTTCGGTCTTAAAAGAAATAGTTTCAATGTACTGATAGCGATTGTCAAGGTAGGATTCCAATAGATTTAAGACAGGCCCTCTGAATCCCATTTGTTCCAGTTTTATTAACAGACTAGAGTGATCAACTGTGTCAAAAGCCTTTGTTAGGTCTAAAAACGTATTCTGAACAGTTAGTTTTTTGTTCGATAGCGATGTTGAAACTTCTTCCAACAATGTAAGGATGGCGTCAACAGTGCTTCTATTTGATCTGAAGCCAAACTGAGTGTTTCGGATGATATTAAACTTGTCTACATATGATTGGGCTCGTTTAAAAATTATACGCTCAAAAATTTTGCCCAGAACTGGAAGAAGCGAAATTGGTCTATAGTCTGAGGGGTCATCGATGTCTCCCTCCTTGAAAATTGGAACAATTTTTGCAATTTTTAAACAGTTTGGATAGATTCCTGAGGTTAGGCAGTCATTAAAAATTTCAGTTAAAGGGCCTGCTAGTATAGTTTTTAAATGCTTGACGAGCACAGTGTTGATATCATAGCAATCTGTACTATATTTAATTTTTAAACTTTCGATGACTTCAATGACTTCAATTAAATCAATGTTTTTCAAAAACAACGATTGCTGCTGACGTATAACATTATTTTCCATGCAGTTTGGTTTGCTCTGTGTGAGTCTGGCGCCAATATTTGCGAAGTATTCGTTAAAATGCTCAGCGTCCCCGTTAGATAGATTTAAAGATTTAGATTTTTTCCCTTCACCACTCATTTCCTTAAAAGTTTCGAAAAAAGTTTTCGTTTTACAATTAGACTCAGGCATTAGTTTAATTTCATAGTATTTTCGTTTTTTACGGATGATTAGGTTTTTGACAATTTTATTTTGGGAACTATACTTATTCCGGGCATCCGTTGTTTTAATATTCAAAAACTCCTGTCGTAACCGTCGCTTTTTTGCTGCTGCATTTTTTACTTCATTGTCAATCAATGGATTTCTTTCTGATTGTACTAGTAAACGCTTTGGAAAAAAAGTATCAACTGCCTTCATAAGGATCGAATTTATTTTTTCTAAAATCCTAGAAGACATTTGAGGGTCTTCGGGATTCCATAACTGCATACTTTTGCCAATCTTATGTTGCAAATAAAAACTTAACTTCTCACTTATATCCCTTTTTTTCAACTTGTTCCAGTTTCTAGCAAAATTTTTTTCAGTAAAAACGTCCTTTTTCAGGAAATTTGAAAAAAACTGAACACCAAAATGATCAGATACTTTATTTTTGATGGTTTTGGTTGAGAAACTTGATGTACAGAAAAATAAGTCAATCAAAGTGGTACTACATTCTGTCACTCTTGTTGGGAGGCAGCTCATTTTGTTTTCTAACATGTCATTTCCTATCATAATATCCTCAATTTTTTTCCGCTTTGTCGAGTTTAACAGAAAATTTACGTTGAAATCACCACAAACTATGTGATCAGTTTCAGGCCCTAGCGTTAATCCATCCAAATAATAAAAAAACTCAATTCCATCCTCAGACAGTTTGCATGGATCTCGGTAGGAAAATAAGTAGCATAAAAGTACTCATTATTCTGTGAAACATAAAATCTAGTTTTTATCGATTCAATTTGCATCAAAATAATCCACTTGTAAATCCATAAAATGGAAATTTAGTACTGTCGGAATAAATTTAGTTTATACGTGTCGGGATACTTCACTAATACTGGTCTCCAAACCGGTTCAATTTAAAACAAGTCCTCTCATAAAAGTTGGAAATGGTCAATAAATCCCTGAAATTAATAACATATCATGTCAATAATCCCGAATTTTATGTTTTCTTGATTTGTAAAAACTTTGAATTTCTATTCTAATACAAAAAGGCGGTCAAAATGAAATTCAACGTTTTTTTTTCGCACTTGAAACATTCTATTAGCTTCAAGAACACCCACGGCGAATAACTAAAATCTCACCTCAAACATGAAGAACATCTCACAATTTCCTCATACAAAATAATCAACAGTAATCGATCAAATAATTTGGCTGTATTTTTTGAGATAAAAATGATATATAATTAAATTTGCGAGAAAATAAGTTTTTGTCTTAATTATTGTAACATTGCAAACTAAACTAAGTACACGCCAAATTAATTTGTGAAGTATTTGATTTGAAAAGTTCTACAAAACAAATAATTTTTGTCGGTCAGCTTTAATGTTCTTGGCGGGAAGACTTAAATCAGTTCGACTGGAACGTATTATCGGCTTGACGTCTGCTGTCTTATCGGATTTGGATTTAATCTGCAATAAACTACGTGACTGTTTGGCTTTTTATTACCGTTTTAAGCTTAACGGTTGTAAAAACAGGAGCACATCTCGTTTCAGGAATAGCTTGGCGCTCAATGTAATTTTCCATTGTATATTCCATATAAATATATTTGAAGAAAAAAAGGATCTTGAAGATATCTATTGCAAATGTTGACTCATTGATATGTATAGACTGTTGAACGTGAAATTAAAAAATGAAAGATGAAAATGTCTTTTCTAAGCTACTTACCATTTAAGCCTGAAAACGCGTTGACATCAGTGTTTATTTGTATAGAACTATTCAATTGTGCTTTTTTTCTGACCCTAAACATGCATAAGTCAAGATTTACAAGAGAAGAAAAGAATATTTATCTCACAGAGTACAAATTTGATAAACATTTTTCCTGAATTCAAAGAAAATTTAATCTTGATAATGAGTCTTTGATTGATAAATTTGGAGTAAAACCTAACTTTGAGGAGACATTAAAATAACAAAAAAGCATGACCTAACTTTGTTTATGCTAGTGAAGAAAAAGCTGGTGGAAAAACTGCAGGATTCTCAAAACGCCGGCAGTCGGAAGCAGTCAATCATAAGCTCTTTTTCTTCCTCCTTACTACACCTCCCGAAAGTAACGGCGCAGAATTTATAAGTTTCAATAATTAGAAAATCTGCGCCCGGATTTTTGTATTGGTCGGTTGTTTTAGGTCGAAAATGTTCGCTTATCTTGATATGGCCAAAAGATTTTAAAAAAAAAGACTTTTCAAGCAAATCTATGTTCACGATAGTCAAACTTGTGATAAAAGCAAGATGAAAAGTTGTGTTTAGCATCAAAATTCTGCCCGTCTGGAGCTTAATGGCAGTTTTATAGCTATGAAAGTGCCGTTTTTTGTAACAAAACAAAACTGCAATTTTCGTATCATTTGAGGATTTTTTAGGGTACCCCTGATATACTGTTGTGATAGAAAATTAGGCTACCTATTGTGATGAAACAGCTTTAATCACTGCGGATCTTGAAGGGAGTTTCAAAATCTTCATGTTTTTTTTTCTAAGTCGACCAAAATTGTTTATCGAGCTCTCCTAAACCATAAAACAATCCAAATTTCGACAAAAATCTTTTTCATAGAAGTCAAATTTATGAAAAACTGTTTTGACTACCAAAAAAATGCGTTTTTTTTGGGAGCGCGCTTTTCTTCAACCTCAGCATTTTGGCTCCAAAAGCTCCTTTAGATTAATTTTCAGTCCTATCAACCAAAAATTAATGTCGCAAAATTGACGTCTTTTTGAAAGTCACATGGGGCCCTTTGAGTATCCAGTTCAACCAAAAGTCACTATCTTAACAGGAATTTCTCCTACAAAATTGTTCAAAATTTTGTTTCATATTTTTTTAAAATAATTTCTAACAACCAATTTCAAAGATCTCCGCTGTCGCAGAGTACAACAACGGAAACTCGTAGCCCAAGAAGATTCGTTTTGCTACATGAATTTACCAGAAACATCCACATACAGCATGTCCAAAAAAGTTCGACATGAGAAGTCAAAGTTGACTTTTTATTTTCTCCAAATTTTTTTTTCAACCACTAATTACGTATAACTACAATAAACTTCCTGAAAAAAAAATTCGCTCCTTTTTGTGAGAATTTGATATGTCAAATATTCAATATGTCTAACATCCATACTATTATATAATACTTTTATAAAAATCTGTTGTTAGAATTTAATAAATTGGACATAATTCAATTATTTGATTCCAATTTAGTTGACTCCCGTTTTAAGACTGCCGGTGGGCGCGCTACACGCGTGTCGTCCGTTCGCGGCGATAACTGGCTCTAGTTTTCATACAGAATCTTACCCTATGTTGACAAGCTCTCATTATGTTGGCGCGACCGCACCGATCCGCCTTCGTTGGAAAACCACAGCATCTAAGTGAACTCTAGTTATCGAATGTTTGCCCCATGTGTCTTAAGACTTTCGACGTTTGCCCTAGTAAAGCTGTTCGTTCGGCTGTTTGACATATCGGATGTTTTAAAAGTATCTCTCGATATTGATCAACTTTGATCTAAATAATGGCTTAGAATTTAACTAACTTTCCTCCTTTCTCTTCACTAACTTGACAATCCTGAAATAGATTTTGAAAGTCTCAATTTAACCTAGATTGTTTCAGTACACACATTTTTGGAAAAATTCTGCTTCATAAGCGCATTCGGAGAAAAGAGACGTGTGCGCCTTGATAGCATAGCACAACCTCTTTAATCAGATTTTCTAGTTTTCCTGCCATCATTGCTACTCAGAGGGGGATCAAGGGTTTTCTTGATGTGGAGGGGGGCGGATTTTCAAATGTATTTTCAAAAATGTTGTCCTTTTTATAGGTTGACCAAATTGATTTTCCGAGCTTTCCCAGTACACTATGAACCCATTTTACTGAAATTGTTTTGGCCGCAGGCAAATTTTTGAAAAAACAGGTCAAAAGCCATTTTTGGGCACTTTTTGAAAATTTCATTTTTTTGGTGCACGCTTCCCCCTTAAAATTTGTATGTATTGGCGCCCAAGGCCCCTGTAGAATAAATTTAGGGTCCGTCAGCTAAAAGAGGAGATCTCAAAAAAGTACAAAGGGGCACCCTTTAGGTAGGTAGAGAGCAGTTTAACATTTGAATTGATCTTGATGAATGATCGTTGAAATCAGCAAATTTTTGATTCTAGAGTTTTCCAAAATTCAACAAACTCAATCTATGGCTTGGTTTTGTATTTTAACAGATGAACTAAATTTCTAAGAGCACAATTTTTATTTGAAGTTTGTCGGGTTGTGATAGTGTCTAGGACACCAATATCTCTTCATTAAGCCAAGTCACGCCAAACAGTGAAGTAGTACTAAAATTTTCCTATCGAATATCTCACAAATGCTATCATAAACCAGAAATTTTCTCGTCGCCATCTAGAAATTCAATTGTGTCCTTTGCCACTTAAGTTAGCTTGATTTTGTGTACAGAAAGTTTGAATTTTCAGGCCAAAAATAAATTATAATAAAGTTTTCTAGCTGCGTCACTTGTCGTACACGAACACAAGCCATTTTCAATGGTACGATTTTGGGATTTCAGCTACCGCTAACTTTTAAATATCGACGTTTCCACGTATTGTTTGCTACGGTAGACATTTTTTATTTGTTATTTGTCTATTGGTATCGGTTCCTGTGCGTGATAAAAACGGAGCAAAGCGCTCCATTTTTACCACGTTTCTTCAATATTGAAATTGTTCGCTGATCTTAATTTAGATTTTTTAAATTTCTTGATCTATCGGTGGCCATTTTCTAGTGTCGTATACCCTGCAGTGTTCAAAGTTTACTTTTTATTTTCCGAGGTCCAAGCTTATCCAACTGTTTTTAATGCTTTGAAGACTCCTTCGACTTCTTCTCTTCGAGACTCTAGGAACCATCTTAGTGTTCTCTCCCATCATAATCAACAGTGTATTGGCTCATCATATCTAGAAAGAATTTCGTATTCGTTAAAAGATTTTTTAAATCTATAAATATCCGATTTCAACATGCACAACATAACATGCACAAATTGGTCGGGAGTAACATGCACTCCATCTACGATACGAGAAATTCTTCACCGATTAAGAAGGAGCTTTCAGATCCTCAATGTCTAAATGCATGGCACTCAATTTCTCTCATTCTCGCTTCACTTGATTATGAGTTATGATCGATGGGTATAACTCATAGAGTAATTTCGGATAGGGTACACCGTCTGCTCGTCACGCTATCTTATTTTCGGCCGGATAGATTCGTGCAACTTCTTAGTCTAATACCGATCCTAATCTTACTCTTATACTATCTAGTCTCAGGTTGTTTAACTAGTCTCTGCTAGGCTCAATAGATCTAGGGTATACTGGTTTATTGCGGCTGCTGAAGTACTCGGGAGAGTTCAACTAATTTCTAAGTTAAATTCAAATCTCTCTGGTGCTGAAATTACAAGTAATTTCAGCACTTACAAATAAGTGGATTGTTAGTTAGATGGATCATGATTGGTTAATATTAAATACTTTACATTGGTAAAATATCTAATTTATCCAATCATAAAATGTAGTTTAGATCAGGTTCCACCCATCCGGGTTTTACAGAGTTTTTTAGAATAGTTTTTCTGCAATTCGAAAGATGGATGATGGACGTTGGTATTTGGCGAACATCTTATTTCTTCTGGGTTTTCTTATTAGAGAAGTCCCAGATTCAATCATTGTGTCTTCTCAAGACAACGACTGGGTTTTCGCAACAAACTCAAATCTGATTTCAGAATGGTTGGCTATGTCAGGTTTTTCTGTTTCATTGGTGAGAACTTCTTTGTGTTTGACCTTGTCTGGGAATGGCGTGGAGATTGTGCGTGGAGGGGATGCCTGGTTACTCGGATCTGTACGTATACTTGAACATCGAGGTGGTCATTGGTCTAGTTCAATGAAGTCCTTTTCTGCGAAGTCAAGTCGTACTCTAAATCCTTTGAGTTGTGATTGTGGGCGGCATATTGATTGTAGTTGGCCATTCTTTCTCGAGTGTAGTAGGGTCGTTTTGTCTTTGGATGTTCGTCCTTGGTGTTGTATTCTGATCTATGTATTGCATAATGTAATTTACATTTTATAAAACTTTTATTAGTTTAATATTTTTTAATTATGATTTTAGTTAGTTGTTTTCACAAAAG